TAAAAAGCAATGGGCCTATTACTTTTGCACAAAAACTCTAAGTAACTTAGACATATATGAAATTTTTATATTCAGTTATCACAATATTTTATTACCTATGAAAATTTTTTATTAATTATAATTTAGTTAAATTAATTATAATATAAGCCTAGTTATTACAACAAAATAATGTTTATTTGAAATATTTTAATGTCTTACCATTTCTTCTTGCTTCTGTTTATTCCATTCTATTTCTTGTTCTTTAATAGATTGTTTAGACTGAATTAAATTGTCTGTAAGTGATGAATTTTTATATTAATATTTGATATCATGGATTAATTAATGCAAAATGTATTCACTAAAATAACTACTTACCTAGTTCACTTCTGTAATTTTCTTTATCTGTATTCTTGTATCTTAATTGATTTTCTATACTTAATTTAACTGCTTGAGCAGGCTGAAAACGAATATCCACATCACCCGCTATTTGTGTTTTCAATCTTCCAGATTTAGTACGATTAGGTGCACCGGCACCCGGTTGGCCGAATTTTAAAATAGAATCCTATAAAATATTTAATAAATTTTATTTCATTAGAACAGCAACACGAACGTGTTGAGTGAGAATAGTACTGTACATGGTAGGACTCGTTCAGTGAGACCATTCATAATGAATGAGTTGATAGGGTAGACCGGGGGAATATGAGCATACATTCGTAACTCGTTAACAACAATGCGAATGAGTATAATTTTTACCATTTACTCGAGTAGCCTATACTGAATTAATGTCTCTTATTAAATTATTCAACGTTAAAAGATTTTATATAATATCTATATAAGAATACAATAAAACCATACCAGATCTTCGGGAGGAGGAGGAGGATCTGGTATTCCCACATCTTTGGAACGAACTGTTGAATGTCGTAATACGTTGCCTTTTCCATCACGCTCGGGATTTCCAAAGCCTTTTCCCCATGGATTAAAAGGCTGAAAATTTTATATTATTCCGATATATTAAAAATAATAATTCACAATTAAAATAAAGGAATGAGCAATACACACATCGTTTGTCTGTTCATTTTTCTGAAAGGGATTTGTAGGTAGGATCTTGAGTGGCATCTGACTTAATGAAGATTTTACTGGTTATTGGCGTTTACAATTTTGTTTTTTCATAAAATTCATATCTATCCCAAAAATTAAGTTTTTTTTCCCATTTTATAAAAGTTAATAATATAAAAGTTATTTTTTTGAATCTCCTAAAACTAAATACCATTGAATAATTATTATGTACTCGTGCCATAAAAATCTTTCAACTCTTCTTTTGTTACTCCTATCGATGGTTAATTCGGATTCCATGTCGGATGGATTTGGATCGCTTGATA